CCAAGTTTACAATAACTTAAAATGTGTATACATTTTTTGGGACACCCTGTATTTTGTTGAATCGAGGAGGTTGTAATGCCTTGAATCAACCGTGAAAGCCAAATGTGACTAAAAATCGGCTACAATAATAGGCAACCAGCCTTCAGCCTGGATAGAAAACGACTGAAAACTTCGCCGAAGTTCGATGTAGAATGTAAGGGACAGTTGACCATAAGTGTTTATGATGGTACTACTGACAGTCTGCAGTGAGAGCTAGGAATGTGGGGGGTGGGAAACTGCCCTATTGGGCAGTATATACAAAGTATCCTGGGATAAATTATTAAGTATTTCCAGCAGGAATACGATGGGAGTTGCCAATCGAAGGCCGACATTTGCTAAAAGTGATTGAGGCAGATGAGTTCGATTGATGGAGACTCTGCAACATGCAACAGTGATAACAGAAAGCACCTCACTTAAAGTTGAAGTTGGCTGTTGTGTTCATTTGTTAGTAAATGCGTACAAGGAAACAGAGATGAACAGAACAAATGGGGAAAATGAAATCGTACAAAGACCTACGAACATCCTACTGCTTGCTTTGTGCAGATTATTCTTGCAAGTAAGTGGAAAAATAAGTTATAATACTGTATTTTTGTCTGAATAATCGTGAAATGCAAATGTAGAATTTACGATTTTGACATTTATGAATAATTCGCGACCTTCGACCTGCAATGCATATAATGAGCTATCCAACCAACCAATAATTTAAACTCAGTGTGTAAACACTGGGCCATTTCCGTAATTTTGATTGGTCCTGTCACGTACGATTGAAAATTGCGAGTCCTGTAGGTGATCACTAAAGGATATTTATAGCAGTGATCTTGTTATACTGTTTGGCCGTTTATTTATCGGTTACTTTTAAGTAAAATTAGTAAGGGACGCTTGAGTAAGCTGCTTTGATTTCAATATAAATGAACGATAGCTTTGTCGGTCGATAGAGTTTTATTCAACATGTATTTAATCTGACTCATAACTGATGCGTATTAGACGGGGTGAAAATTTTTGCGTCACAAATTGCTCGCATTATTGCTCTGTTAACTCTCCTGTTGAATTGCCACCCAGTATGTCGGAATAATTACCATAAAAATATTGATAACAATATACGAGCATATATTCTATCTATCCCACTATCCTACTTATATATAAGTATACAAAAGTGGGATAGCTAGCAAATGGGTAGGAACGACTAGTACCTAGTATGTCAATAACACAGAAGTAACAGTTGATGTTATTAACATAGTATCACACAATTCGTGTGGGTTCGCGCTCTGTGCCGACATTCTTCAAGCTAGCGTTTCTTAAATCTATTTGTCATTAACCTTCACTACCTGCCGTCCCTCCGCTCGTCGGATACTTTCCGGTTTCCTCGCGCCTGCGAAGATCATCGGTTGTGGCATACCAGCTTAAAGTAGTCTTTTATAAATGGATCAAGTCATCTTGAATTAACCGGAGCTGTTAACCCTAAAATTAAGAAGTGAAATAATGACGAAGAAGTAATTCGTATTTTATGTCTTTTAATGTGTAATTTAACTGTGGATTGCTTCCCATCTCGGAAGCCAGTTTATTCTTGTCAAATATAAGTCCCAAATGAGAA